GGCATCGCGTGCTGCGCGCTATTCAACTGCAATTACAGCCGGTTAGGAAGGTAAACAAACGTAATTAAATGTTGCATTGAGGATTCCGTTCTAATTTAGGAGGATGCGAGGCGCTTTTAATTAATTACAAGTGCAATTGATCGATGGATGCGCGTCAAGGTGCATCTTACCTATCGATTAAATCAATTACAATCATTGATTGGATTTCCCTTCGGGGAGTGAAGGAAATTGATTGAAATCTATTGGAATTATTGATCCTTGAAATTTTATTAAGTCGTGTTAGTTACAACGTTTATAACTCAAGAACGGTGCGATAGATTTTGATGATCTATGATTTGTTTTATTCATCTTCGTCTTGAATAGGAGAATAAATATTAAAATATTAAAAATTATGATTTAAAAGGTGTTAAAAAAGGGATGAAAATTTGTATAGAGATTTAATCATAGTTATAGTTATATAATTGATTCATAGGTGGGGTTAAAGTACATTATTAGCATTTCTAATTTTTTTTTTAAATAAAATTGTGAATTTTATTGGTAAAATTGACAAAAACTAAATTTTGAACAAGAAAAAAATTTAATTTAATTTTTACTAAAAACTACGGTGACGAATTTGTGGGGAAAAACTAATATTAAATAAATAATACAATAATTTTTTGATTTTATTTTTGTATAGGCAACTTAATGTACAATAAATTTTCCTACTTGGTAAAAATGTAAATGAAGTTGAAACTTTGCAAATTAGCGTGAAACTAGATGCTTTTTTGTGGTTTATTGTTTCTCATTTAATGGCCGTAAACAAAGTGCAATAAATCTGCATGCAAATGCATAGGATTCAGCTCGACGAGTTGGTTAAAGAGTGCCGGTAAGTCACGTTACGGTTTCGGTTTCACTTTCATCTGAAATCTCGACGCGTTCAATGCGCTTGGGAGCGCACCGAGAAACACACAGGTGAAAACGAAGTCGAAACGTTTTGAAAAGCGAAATTAATGGCCATCAACCATTTAAAGCTACAAGTATACAACTATGAGAACACTTTTTGACGCACATTCAATCGACAACAGTTTCATTTTCAATTAAAATTAAATTTATATTTTAATATTGTAATGCAATTAATTGTTTTGTGCGTTTTGTGCGCCGGGTAGTGCACAAACTAGTGCAGAATGTTGCAACGTGTGGAGTAATCGAGTAGTAAGCTGCATTGCGCGGTTATTACAAATTAATTGAAGCGAAAACCGCATGCGGAAAAAACCGCACACATGTGCGCGCGGGTAATTGCAGCGGTAAAAAGTGAGCTAATGCGAGGCGATGCAATTGAGTGCAGAATGCAAATGTAATGTGTGTAGTACACATTTAAGCGCAACAAACAAAACAACAAACAAAAGCCTAGTTGCGCACCATGCAGGCATATGGCATAACAATCTGTTCCTTTTCCTTTTTCCTATTTTTAATTGTTGTGTGTCATTCAAGTAAAAAACAAACTTTAGTAAGAATAATCCCTACTAATATAATAAATGCGAAAGTCCTGATGTTTGTTACACTTTCACGCAAAAACTACTTAATCGATCATCATGAAAATTCGTACACATATTCTTAGTGATCCCCGAATGGTTATAGGCTACTTTTTATTTAATAAAAAAAATTATTTTTAAAATAAAATAAAGAAATTGTTTAGCCAATAATACCTCTGCATCTGGTTATTTGACTACTTTAACGCCATCTAGCATTCCAGCAATAAAGCTCAAACCTAAGTACTATAGTACCATCACACTGTATTATCACACTGTATTACCGACAGCTACGTCAACATCAAATCCAATTGACTACACTATGGAGACTGTACACTATACTTCCATAGACTATACTTTCAGCCATTCTACTTCATTGTTACTTCTTCTGTGACTACAGACGCGTACGGAAGCAACTTCATTATTTTAGATATTTGCGAGCGAAGACAAGGGCTAAAGCTAGTAAAAATATAATTTACTAAAATATTTTTATTTGCAAATATTAAAGCTATTATTTGCAAAATTTAATTTTTTATTTTATTTACACATAAAATATGCTGGGATTGCAGCAATAGAATTTAATATTTCCCTTTTTATTATTTATAGACCATGAAATATTGTTAAATGACCAAAATATAAATAATTTGAAAAATTGTGTGAAATTTCCTATGTTTGGTGCTTGTACCGCAACTCCAACATTGGCTGCTTTCAGCACTAAAGTAATATCATTATTATTACTGATATTTAATGTGTTCGGACACACTTTCGTATTTATTACTATAAAAAGAAAACTAAAATCGTAAAGAGAATTAAGTTAAATTATAATAACAATAATTATGAACCAGGAAATACGAGTACATTGAAAATGAAGCTGTGCCCTCCGGAGTCGCGAAAGTGTGAATTAAATTTTCCAACTTGAATGCAACGAATGTAATAAACAACGTAACGCTAAATCAACTAAACAAACCATACAAAATCAAATCACGTAATCTCATATAACCATACCTAAGAGAATAATTAACCTGTGTGCAGCTCTATAATAATTTTGTGACATATTTTATTATATGTAGGTACTTATATGTTTAATACTTTTAGTTTTTTACTTATTAATTATTTTTGGTTTTAGTTTATTAAATTGCTAGAATGTGTTTTAATTTACCTGCTGCTGGTTGTGTCCGGATGGCATTTAATATTTTGCCATTTTAGCGAAAATCATAACTTAGCATTTGCGAACGATTTTAGCATTTTGTGTCTGAGTTCAATTCGCCGGTGTGCTATTGTCGAATTATGATAATAGCAGGCGGCCAAACCTGTTACACAACTAATTGCCAGTTGTCACCGGTCAAACGGATCACCGGCCAGCAACCAGCAAATTATTGATTCATAACTAAACTTTTGTTTGAGTCAAAATTAGTATACCTTGTCTTTAAAATCAAAAATTTTTAAATAATAAATCAAACTGTTTTATAGAAATTCAATAATATAATTTAATAAAAATTAATCTAACTAATTAATTTCCTACTTCTTGGAGTTAATGTGCCGATTTTAACGATAAAATTCCCAATTTTAATTTATATTAACGAAAAACTCTAATTATGTCTTTGAGCGCCATCTAGAATGGGATTATTTAACTATAAACACAATTAAATTCACATAACAACTTTCATCCCTTATTTAACACCCTTAAAGTTATATTTTTGCAACAAAAAATATCCTATATGCTTCTTCAACATCTAAACTATATCTATACCAAAATTAATCAAAATTGGTTGAATAGTTTTGGTGTGAAATCGTTACAAACCGACAAATACACACAAATTGGCACTTATAATATTACTTAGAAAGATTTTACTTGTGTACTGTTGTGATATCAACGTAATAACTCAAAATAGGTTATATTTTTTAACACTAATAAAGTGCAATACAATAAGCCACTAAAATGTCATTATTACTTAACACCACCAATAATAATTACATAACAATTTTTTACATATCTCTGATGAAGACGATTCAAAAGTTGAAATGCATCGTGTAAATTGTTGATATGTAGGTATATAATTGAGATAATTGAGGTAAGTCTCTTTCCTTGTCTGTCCCGTCAACGCACCGACAAAATGCTTTTATTTATTGATGCGATTATTGAAGCATTTTTATAATGCTTACATCTCAGATCTTACATCTAACATCTTACATTCAAGTGTTGATGCAATCACTTTCTTTCTGTCTTGCCATCTTTCTATTTGTGCTGTTGATGCGTTGGATGCGTGTACAGATCGTATCTTGCATTAATATCTTGCATTAAACTACACAGTCGATGACAATCTCAAATTGAAGAATTGTTCACATAGAAAAAGTATACGAGTAACATTTAACATTTAGCATCAATAAATTGCAACACAAAATATAAAGTTGATGTTTTGATTGAAGATTCACGAAGATAAACTAAATAAAAGGTTGCAATATTTTTAGATGAAGATTTATCATTTTTGTTTTCTAGGGACTTGAAAATTAGAAAATTTAGTATTTTGGTAAAAAAATGGCGTGGCATTAAATTTCAAAAATGTTTTTTATATTTTATTGTGGAAAACACTTGACTTTGATAAAAATTGTGCATAGTGACACGTAACAACAGCTTGAAATAGGCTAAAATTGGTATAAAACAAAGTCGTGTTAGTTACAACTTTTATATCTCAAGTACCACTGAACAGATTTTGATGATTTTGAATTTTTTTGATTTGTCTCAATCCAGAATAGTATAATAACTATTAAAATATAAAAAATTATTACTTACAGGGTGTTAAAAATAAAATAAAAATTTGTATAAAGATTAAAGTACATTAATATCATTTTTCATTCCATAAAAATAAAAGTGCTGTTGTAAAATTAATTTTTCACTGAATAAATGTAAAAATCAAAAATATTTTCCAATAAATTCCATCTTAATGAACAAAAAATAAATTTTCTCATACTTAACAAATTTCTAATAATTTTTAAAGCTGTTAAATGTTAAATGTTATCAAAAACATACTTTATTGATTGCTTTCTGTTTGTATTTACGATCTTTAAGAAACGTCTCACGATAAACAAAAATTTACTACTCAAACACGATAGATGCGCAATTTCCTTCCGGGTGTTTTTCGTGAGGTTCACGGCTCACATAATTACCGTAATAAATCGGATGCGATAATTATGCGTGAGAAGCCACATTCGCGGTTACACTCAAAGCCGAAAAAGTTTGTTAAACATTCTCCACATTCTCTCCATCGCAGCGGAAATAGGTTATGCAACTAAACATTCAAGTTGACAATCTTGGACATTAAAAAAATAACAAATTTCATAAAAAAAACCTGACTCTACTTGGAATGCAAACAAGATTAGTTTATCAAAAAATGTAAAGTGTTCTTGTTTTTTCTTTAATGTATATATTAATATTTATTTAGTGTGTGTGTGTATAAAACGGAACAAAAACGAAATGAAAGTATTTGCACTTACGTCATGCGCGCACGCGCCCAGCAGCCACGTCGTCGCAGCGAAGCACAAGAGCAGCGTCCTCCGCGGCCAGCGCGCCGTCGCCATCTTGAGCTGCAAACAGGCAAAAGAGAAGAGAACGTAAGTAACAACGTAAAGACAAACATATCATCAGCTGTTTAAAGCTGTGCTGCTGTGGTGCACGCCAAGCAAGCGCGAAAGAAAAGTGAAAGCATTCACTTTGCTTCCACGCTTCCCATTTCGATTCTATTTGATTTTAATTCAAATCTTTCCAATTAATCTACACACATTTATTCGCTATAAACACCCTGTATATTTCACACATGTTCATATTCCTATTATTGTTTTATATTATTTGCTGTGGTAATAATTATTATTTTCTAATGAAATAGCCCAGTCATTTGGTAGTTTTGCTTGGAAAATAGTGCGGGATTGTTGAAAATTGGTATTCATATAGATTTCGAGGTGCTCTTTCCGAATTTCAACTTTGCTACCTCGTATCTTGTTCGCTCGAGCCACCATCTTGGAAAAATGGTGTCAAAAAACAGTTTTTTGACCATATCTCCTTTCCGACTCAATTTACGATAAATATATCTATATAATAAATTAAACTAGAGAAAATTTCCTATAATTTATGTAATTACCTTTTTCTTGTAAAATTAATAGTTTTAGCGTACGGGCGCCGCAAAATCTACTTCAACATTAATTTTTGCCAAAAACTCATTTCCACACCACCATGAGGTAGAGTACGTGGCGCGTTTGTTTTTTTATCTTGGTATCCCCAGTAGGCCTAATCCTAATTTTTGCATTTGCAAGATATTAGTTTTAACAATGTTTCGGGAGCTGGGGGCTCAAGTGTGATGACAGGAATTAGCCCATTCTTTTTTCTTTTCCATCCCCATTGTTCTGCATTTAGTTCATTCCCATACTACTACTTAACTTGGTGATAAGTTCTGAACGAATGTTGTCGGGCTGCGGCTTCAGTTGGTGGTAGAGATGCAATATTAAATTTATTTTTGTATGCTGATTTTGTGAAGCTGCCATATCTATAGATGTTTGAAGACATATTTTGCATAGTTTTCACATCACTGTTACTGTATAATTTAAGAAGGAAGAATTCGCCAGCTGTAGCAATGATCTCTGTACCAGCCTTTGGGTTTTTGAATACCTGGATAACTTCGTTTAAATCTGGATTTTTGCTGAGTAAATTAATACATTTTAATTTTCCTTGATGAAAGAGTGCAGATGTTGTATCACAGCCACAAAAAGCGTGTAAGAATAATATGTGATCTGCCGCTGTTTGATCGATCATGCTTTTGGTAGAATAGATTTGTTGCAAAATTTTTCCTTTTTCTGGTTTTAGCTAATATAATATGTTTGAACACATTGATAGTGCCGTTAAAAGAATAAGAAGATCTACATCTTCGCCGATAACAAGCACGAATTGTGATACTGTGCATTGGCTGCGACCAAATCATAAACACCCTCGAGGCATTCAACAATCGCTCTACTCCAATCATCATTACGTGCTCTAGGACGTTCTGAAATGGTGTTTTTCATCGATAATTTATGTACGCTATACACAATATTTCGATCACTCAAATGCGTCCGTTTTTATTTCGCTATAAATTCTGCTGTTATATCAGCAGCGTACAAAAAACAATGATCTTTAAATGAGAATGTTGGGCACATGGATCGCAGTTGTGGTTGAAAAGTCGTGACAACACTTCCTTTTTTAAACGCAATGATTAGTTTCTCATTATTATATCGTTTCCGACATATCTCGTGAACAACTACCGATCTCAATCCCTCTAAAAGTTTACCCTTATTATCCTTTCTTTTAATGCTTGACTTACGAAAGGTTTCCAATCCTTTTTCTTTCACTTCAATCACTTCACTATCTTGCAATGGAGTTATACAAATATAGCAATTTACGTTATCAACCATGGCATCAAAACTGCAAACAACACGACTATTCAGAACAATAAATATCAAATAATGATTCAATGAAGAAATAATAAAACAAAAGTAAACTCGGCCGGCGAAACTTTCAAACAAGCGAGGGGGAGCAGGAGCACAATCAAATCATAGCAAGCAAAAATAGCAGTCATGATGACCTGGAAATGAGTTTTTGACAAAAACGAATGTTGAAGTAGACTTTGTGGCGCCCGTACGCTAAAACTATTAATTTTACAAGAAAAAGGTACTTACATAAATTATAGGAAATTTTCTCTAGTTTAATTTATTATATAGATATGTTTATCGTAAATTGAGTCGGAAAGGAGATATGGTCAATAAACTGTTTTTTGACACCATTTTTCCAAGATGGTGGCTCGAGCGAACAAGATACGAGGTAGCAAAGTTGAAATTCGTAAAGAGCACCTCGAAATCTATATGAATACCAATTTTCAACAATCCCGCACTATTTTCCAAGCAACCACGTTTTTTAGCACCAAATGACTGTACTAAAAGTAATTAAACCACTTTTGTTTTGAAGTAGGTAAAATATAACAGGAGGAAATCCGTGGTTAATATATAGGCGAATGCAGAGGTTTTTTTAACAGTCATTAAATTATTTTATAGATTTTCATTTTATTGAGCTTTTAATTGCGTGTTAAATTAAAATTAAGCGCTTTCAAATACAATTACAAGCAAATTCAATGTCAGTTTCTAAAAGGAACTTTAATACCAAGTAGTAAAATTATTTAGGTTATGTTTCTACATAAGGAAAATGAATTAGTGTTAAAAAAGTAAAAAAAAATTAAATTTTCTTTAAAAATTTATAAAAATTGTAAGTTTCTGTAAACAACACTAAGTTGCACTAATTTTTCTGTAAGAAATTTGACAGAATTTTGTGTTATTTATTATTTTAATGCATATTATAAATTTATATAGATACAAGTGAGTAGTGTTAGTTACAGCTCTTATAACTCAAGAACGGCTGGACAGATTTAGATGATTAATGATTTGTTTGATTCATCTTTAACTCAAATAACAGAATAATTATTAAAATATTGAAAATTGTTGTTTAAAGAGTGATAAATAAGAGATAAATATTTATATTGAGATTCAATGATACTTATAGTTAAATAATTCAATCCGAGATGGCGCTAAAGTGCATTATTAGCATTTCTCATTTCTTTAAAATAAAATTAGGAATTTTAATAATGGAATCGGCGCAAAGTTCCAAGATACGGACAAAAAATAATTAAAACATAGATTAATGTTAAAATTAACTTCAAAATATACATAAATACAATTTTATTAGGTTATGTGATAATTTTTGACAGATACACAAACATTACATAACCATAAATTAACTTTTAAAACAATTTTTGCATTTTATTGTAAATTCAACCAAAATTCCTAATCCACACCAATTTATTTCAAAATAACCGCATCTTATCGCTTTGAAATTGTCCGCGCCTGCAAGCTCAACAGTTCCGATTTGAAATACTTTCTCTAATTACCGATACGCAAGTGTAAAATAGCGCATGCAGCATACGAACGATTAAATTATACAAATTCGTCTCGGAATACGCAAATATTTACCACAGCAACTCAATACACACACTCATACAAACAGGATAACGTACCAACACACAAAGAAAATGAAAGGAAACATATTGATAATCACATCAATACACAATATAATTAACCTGTCATTAATATAATCAAATATTTCATCCAAACGCATTGTGAGCACAATCATTTCCTGCGTTTGCGCTTTTTTACGCAACAGGAAATGCACGCGTATGCATTTATGTATGCCATGTTGGTTGCATACTTGATGGCGTCTTGAAAGACGACACAAATGAAAAAGCATTCAAGCGTTGCGACATAAATAAATCCATCGTTTCCTTTATCCTGCATGCATGTTGACGTGTTTTTAAAGTGTGTTATCGACATTATTTATTTGATTGCCCACAGAGCATTCGTTTGAGGTTATTTGTACGTTTGGGCGTTTATCACTTTTATAACAATACTTAACAATTTCCTATGTGTGCAATGTGCAGTGTTGCACTCTCGTTAGTGGCTCATTCACGAGAAACGCGCAGCGAAACGGAGCGGAGAGTAAATGGAGCGATTCATCACAAGAAAAAATAAGAAGGAATCAAGCGTCTGGTCTCGAGTTTCGAAGACTTCGCGTCTAGCGTCCAGTGAATAACAAAAGTAACAACGAGAGTAAACCCACGTTCGTGTATCTGTATAAGAATGGCAATCGTAAAATGGTCGAGAATAGGAGCTTAATTGGATTTCGGAAATGCAAGCGTTTCCTTACTTGACCAGAATTAATGCCTTCGTTAGATGTGAATAAATCCCATGCGCAATTTAAACGTCTCTTTTTGGCGCTTTTCAAAACGAATTTATTGCGAAATAAGTTGCCTATATTTCCGTAGTTTGAAATTTCTTGCACGTTTCACTTATCTTAAAACTAAAACTAAATCAACTTCCGGTTATGTACATGCGCGTTTAGTTTAAATTCGAAAATCGTGCGCATCTCTTCGAGTTTTATCGTTTTTTGCAATTGATGAAACACGACTTAATTAAAACGCAAGTCAACAAACGTCAAAACTTTCTTTCGCTGCAAACGAAGCAGATTTGAGTTTTTAGTTTCGTTATTTCGAAGAAAGAAATATCTGGGATTCTTCTTCACAGTGTGTGTACGAGTAGACTTTAAAATTGAAAGTAGACTTGTTGGCGTCGGATGATTATAAATGTTAACTAGTGTTAAGTGTGAGGAAGAAAAAATTGAATTTCTTTGTATTCATTGTGAGTTGATGTAATAATATAGCGAATTGTTAGTTATGCGTGGCGCCAAAAAGTGAAATTCATTTCTTTTCGATGCATATTCGTGGCGCCAAGGAAGATATTCACATAATAAGTGATTTAAGGGCAATAAATATGTAAAAAAGGTAAATTTATGAGCTAGGCAACTGTTTATACAAAATAAAAGTACAAAAAGTTGCATATATTAAGAAAAAACTCAAAAAAAACGATAAAATAAGTTTATTAATGAAAAATTTAAACAATTAAAGACTAAAAATGTTATTTTTACGTGTGTGGCACATAATAAATCATCGCCCACTTAA